TAGTGCAGTGTTTCAAAAAGGCAGTGCCATTTGGGACTTAGGCAAGAACATGTTATATTTATATGAGTCAGTTTGGCTGCGCTGTTGGGCCAAGTTCATGTACGTATTACTGTTCCTGAATGACCTCTGACTCACTTTATTTTGGGTATGTGCAGTTTAAATACCAAACTAGTTAACTGAGTTTAGTCAAATGCCAGGGCTCATGTATGTGTAAAGTGTTAAGTGTCGTGCATGCAGTTTTTTTCTCTTGACGTCTGAAAGCTGTTTTGTGCCTGTTGCAAAAGCAAGGCTAATGTGAACTGATGTATGGGATAGTCGAATGCAAATTCAAATGACCAATATTTCCCTTGAAGTGATAAAGTCCGTTCACTTCTGCTCTCCAGCTGAGTATCTGTTTCAAATTACTTTTGAATAATTTTGTCTGTGACAGTTGATATCACTGTCTTCGTTTTCTGATTCAGGTTATTTCTATGTGTGTGTTTTTTTCTAGCACTCCAACATGCCCATCACAGACAATGCCTTTGGAAGCCTCCTGATTGGCTACCTTCCGTCCATCACCATCACCATACTCAATGGCCTGGTGCCCATGATCTTCAATATTGTGGTGCGGTTCGAGGACTACAGTCCTCAGTTTGAGATCAGCATGACCCTGGTCAGGTACGCTGTATTTACAATGTGGTTGTGTATTTCCATCAGAGAAAATGCTGAGTCTTATGTAATTATTCAGTTGAATTGATTGACATGTGGCAGGGAGCCATGACAGCTTCAGTGTTCTTGTTTGAACAAAATAGTAGTGAAAAGAGAAACGTTTGACAGTAATGTGAATACGTCTTTGCTGTTATGTTCTGTTATGTAACTGTAATATACATGTACCTTGAGCTTGTTTACAGTTCACATGCTAAAGAAATAACACATGAGCAAACAGTGCAACTCACTGAACTCAAGTGAGACAGCAAATACCGCCATCTGTTGCCCCTGCATGGAGTTCATGGAAACAACAAAGGAAAGGATAATCTCATGACTCTACCCTTTGAAGGATTTTCACATGCAGAGCTAGAAACACCTGCACAATCCCAGCTTCTGGCTTTATTCTGTGTTGACTCTCTGCTCATCCCGAATTTCTCCTTGTTTGCCATTTCTCCCCCCCCCTCCACAGGACCGTGTTCCTGCGTCTGGCATCCTTGGCCGTCCTGTTCTTCTCTCTATTTCCGCAGATCATCTGCGACGAAACGGCTCAGGATACCTGCGGCGTCTGCAGCCAAGGCAACCTGAAGGTAGGTAAACCAAGTCAGTTCATAAGACAAGCTGTACCCGATTATCATTGAGTAACCTGTACTGACTTGGCTGGGCACCACATAAGCATGAGACAATAATCTGCCCTATTTTGAAAAGAACGCTTATACAAATATAATATGGAACGAGGATGGATAGTGGTATCCAAGTATTCTAAGTATTATGAATTGACAGAATAGTTTTGGAGGTTGAAGGAACTTCTTTTGTCAGCTCCCAATACCAAGGGAAGCTAAAATTTCCATTCAAACTAAACCATGGTATATTTGTTTTAGCATACTTTATATGTACATTTAGTTGCCATAATGTGTTGCCATAGAGTTGTACACATTTAATTGCCATAACAAATTCAGCCATCGTTTGAAGTGCTGATCAAAATATGCTGCGTACTTGTGCGTATATGTGCGTACTACACTTGGGCAACTATTCCATGATCATTTTTAAAAAAAGTTCTTCGGAGAACATTTTAACTGCCAATCTGTGGATGAGGTGTATGAAAGCCAGACTGCATTATCTCATGGTAACGGTGACAATGAGCTTCTCTCAGTCATACAAGACAAGGCTATGAAGATGTGGTCTGTTTCCATTTCTGCTTCCTTTCCCCCAGTGTTGGGAGACCTACGTGGGCCAGGAATTCTACAAACTCTCCATCACAGACTTTGCCGCCGTCACGCTGGTGGTGCTACTTTGGGAATTCCCTCGCAAGTGAGTCCTAATCTTCATGATTTTGATCTCTCGAAGATAAAAACTGTCATGCTCATGTAACAAGTAGTTGTGTGCATTTATGGTTAGTATAACCTGGTACGTTATTGAAAATAATATTGTATCGGTGCTCAGACAAGAAGCCAATCCCCAAGGTTGTACCTCCCCCGCTCCCAAAAAAGAAAGCAGTTGTAATGTCTTGCCTACAAGAAATTCATCAGCAACCTTTGCACATGAAATATTCTGAGAATGGACAGAGCATATTGCCCCAAGTACTGAGTACCACACATGCAAAAGAGATGTCCTTGCACGGTGCTGCAGCAAACCTTTTACTTTACATGAAGTCCTGTTTAGCATTGTGTGTAGCCAGGCTTTTATTTCAACATTTAAGAAGAAAAACCATTTCACGCTGGTCGTTTTTCATTGAAATGTTACGGCTTAATTTACACAGTTTGATATGGCCCCTTGGTCTGGAATGTACTGCTCAACATGAGCAATCAGGTACACAGGTACCACCTGGTTACAGTCCACAGGCCTAGAGACAAAAAGTAACGTGCACCGAATTCAGTTAGCGAAGGAGTCTGCCTGTTCACCGTGTCTGTTTTTTTCCTTCCTTTAACAGAATCGCAGCCAAGTATCTGCACTTTGGCTTAGTCCAAACCTTGGCCAAAATGGAGTTTGAGATTCCCAAGAATGTTCTGGCCATCGTGTACTCCCAGGCTCTCTGTTGGTAAGCCCTGTGAGGCAGTCATATGGCCCCTCCTTCCACCTCCTTTTACTTCAGTTTAGTCACCTTTGACCTCTCAGATAAAAGGCACATTAGGTGTTGATCACAAGACAAATTCAACCTCATGACACTTTCATGTTTCACATCCTGGTCACATTTCACATCAACCCTCCTGCTTTAGGGCTCTGAAAACCTCCAGGTGAAGAGTTTCATGTAATTTGAAGTTAAAAAAGATTAAAATGTCACAATCCGGAAGTAATGTTGTTTTCCTTGAAAGGTTTTCACCTTATGTGCATTTCAAAGTCTCTTTTGTGTTAAAGGCTAAAAAAAGATGAAGCTCATGGCTGGCTGTTTTCAGCTACCCATAGCATAGCTTCTCATGGTTAGATGTAGGAGTGTGCCACTCTTAAAGGCATGTATTTCTGTGTATTTAGACTGCTTTATGGTGAAGGGTACTCTGGTAGACCTAGCATCAGAGCTCAGATACAGCGAATGAATGAGAGGTTATAAGAGGGCCAGCAGTAGGAGAGGTTAATGAAATGAGAGTGTGAAGTTAACCCTAACAGGTCTTCAGTCCATCCCCAGTTGGAGGATGGATGATTTTTAGGATGAATAAGTGAGGAAGAGCTCTTTTCATGTCAATTAATGTGGATGCTTGAAAAGGATGTATCAATAATGGATGTCTATATGTGGTTGTATTTTGGAAGGATTGGATCATTCTACTGCCCGTTCCTGCCAGCTATCAGCCTGTTCAAGTGCCTAATCTTCTTCTATCTCAAGAAGTGGAGCCTGCTGTACAACATGGTGCCGTCCTCACGGCCGTTCCGTGCCTCACGGTCAGGCATCTTCTTCATGGTCATTCTGCTGATCACATTCATGGGCTGCATCATACCGGTTGGATATTCAATCGGAGCGTGAGTAGTCCATTTAACTTGTTTGATCTGATGAATGTTGAGTCTTGGAGTCTTTAAACTTGACCTCAAGTTTCTGGCAGATTATACAGTGTTGAGGAAAAGTGCTGTGTACAGTCATGATGACATTCGATTGAAGGTTCACACGTCATGAATGTTTTATCGAGCACAAGTTACAGCCTGCACTAGGTTGCCAAGATTTTGTTTGTATTAAAATTTATTGTTATTCCTACCTGTTCTGTCAAATATCAGGGATATACATTTTGACCGAAGTCTGCTCCCCAGGTTTTGCAACTAGTTCAATTCTCAGTAAATGTTCAGTGGAAACCAATCAGACTGAATTTGAGCCTACGACCTCCAGAGTAGTGTATCAATATTCCACTCACTGACCTATCGTGCTATGCACTGACAATTTTCATGATTGTCAAAGTCTCTGTGAGATCAACTACATGGAACAGAATATTGAAGAGGGTGAAACACGTGTGCAGTGCTTGGAAGGTCACAGGTTCAACTCTTACAACAGTCGACTTTAATGATCATTTAAAACCAAATTGATGCAAATGTTCATCAACATCTGCTGACTTCTGCTGCCATGTTGGTTTGAATATTTCTAACCAACTGTGGCAATTCGGGGTTCAAGACATCTGCACTAGCAAGGAAGAGGTCGTGGCTTTGAAATCCACCTCAACCAGCTTGTGAATTTTTCTCTCAAGCTGTTACACAGCACTGAGTATGCATTTGTTTTCAAACAAGTTAGTGAACGGTAAAGCTCCGTATTAATATTGAATATAGTCAGTTGGACCATATGATTTGAAGGTTTGCACAGTGGACATTGTAAGACAAAGGTTTGTACTGTCGCCATGTATCTCGTTTGTGACTTAGGTTAGTTGGACAGTTTAACCATATTGTTTGATTGTTTTATTGCATAGTTCTTCTATACTTTGCCCTGTTTTCTGCACAGCATTGAGCCTTCCCGGGGGTGTGGGCCGTTCCGCGGCCAATCCACCATGTGGGGGGTCATCACCACCACCATCGAGCAGTTCAACAACTTCTTTGAGGAAATCTTCAAGTTCTTGGGCTCAGCATCTTTTGTTGTGCCTTTCATTGTCATTCTCTTGTAAGTAGTCTTGTAGTAGGACTTGGACCCACTTGATAACAACGTCATTAATGCTGCGCACAAGCGTGTCAGGTATTACCCTGTCCATTGACAGATGAGAAGCACCCTTCTACTTAACTGTCCAATGTCCAGCTACATTACCCACCAAGGTGGTTTGCTGCACCTTGCTCTGATTGGTTCCTTGTGTGCACAAAACCATCACCACCAAGTGGTTCTCTTTTATTAGAACTTCTTGTTTATTGGGGATTGTCCGGGTAAAAGGGGACTTTGCAGCATTGTTCAGAGGGAAGAAGCAAAGAAGGTTGAACACCACTACTTTTTTATGGTTTTCCTTTTATATCCTTTACTGCAGCACTTGAAAGATAGAGCGTTCCTCCCTCAGCCACTTTCAGCATTTGTGACCCAAAGCAATGAAATGAGTCTTAAGTTACCCAAACTACTCCAGAGTCAAAGACCTCTTAAAACCATATATTGCACATTGGAAAATCACTAGGGATGGGCAAAATTTTTCCCATATTACATCCTCTTTTATAAGAAAGTCAGAGTGAGTTATATAGTATGACCAAGAGCTCCACACACCTTTTTTAAGGCACATGGGTTAATGAAAAACTAAAAAAAGGGTCTTTAAACATACTTTCTTTGGATCCAGTCATATTTCTCATAATTATGATAGTATTACAGGATTTCATCTTTTGAACAGGGTTTGTAAGACACAGTAATGCCATGGCCCTCATTTTATAGCAAGTCTATCCTGATGATTGATACAAGGGATGAATACTTACCGAAATCTCCTCATTTGGATTTCCATACAGGCTGATACTGTATTACTACCACGCCATTGCCTCCGCCCACAATGAGCTCGTGAACCGGCTGAAAGAGCAGCTTGTGATGGTAAGTTGGCAATTGTTCACCGGTACTTGGCACCCAGTTATGAGAGGGCTGACCGGTTTGTTACCGTTTAATTTTTGTGCCCTCTTTGCATGTGCTGGTCCTTCTTTATAAAGATAAATCACATTTGTGTTCACAAATACTTTGGTTTATCAAGGAAATATGAACTGTAATGATAGCATGATGCTACATGTATTTCTTGTATTTGTGATTTTTAAAGGAAGTTACACACCTTTGTTGGGTAGAGGAAGGAATGATTTAAATATTTGGTTGATGACAAAATTTAAAGCTTAAACTTCAAGTTCTGAGATTAGTGCCTGCAATTTAAAAATTTAAGAATATCAATAAAGCGAAGCGTTCAAGAACCGTTGCCTTAATGACTAATCTGGCAAACAGAATTAGAGACCATTGCCTTGGTCCCAACATACTCATGCATAGATGGTATGTACGTGGAATACTTACAGTAGGGTGTAGTGACTTGTCAACTTGAGCTTCTGGTTACTGCAAGTCATAAGAACAGACGTAAACATTGTGCCACCAATGCCATCCAGCAATGGCATCTCCTCTGATCAGTCACAATCAATCTTTTCCTTTCTTTGCATTTTAGGAGGGACGCGACAAGCACTTCTTGCTGACGCGACTGCATGAGCTGGAACCCAACACCAAGGGGCACAAGAAGCGCAGTGTCCTGCCCAAGAAAACTGAGACTCACCCTCCAAAGCACCCCTCTCAGGCCTGGTCCGGAGGCGGACCCATGGAAGCTCACCCCTTCTCCACCTAGTCCTGAAAAATTGTTTCCTTTAAAAAAATCCCCTTCACTATAGACCACTTCCAAATTGAAAAATGTCTTTTAAAATCATACAGTTGTAAGTTGCCAGAGCCACTTTTTTGAATGAAAGGTTCGGTCCATTATTTAGAGTTAAGTAAATAGTAACTGCCGACTTATAGTGGAGGAGCATACTTGGTTTAAACTCCCAGTGAATAAGTTCTTCCTGGAAAGCTCTCATTTTGAAGAAAGCAATGATGGGTCATTTCAAGCTATGAATCTAAAGATGCGTTTTTGGATGAGTGTCATTACTAGAGGAATGCACAAGCATTGACACAGCACGTGGTCAAGACGCTGAATTCAGGCATCATTCAAAACACGACTCAGCAATGTTTGATCTGAATTGAAATCCTAGAGTATTGTTTTTCCTCAGAATGTCCCGAATTCACTGAGCTGAAACTTCATCAGGTTTGCTCCTAGGCACTCTTCTTTAGATTTGGAGTAATTTTGTTGCCTCAAAGGAGCATAATGCACAAATGACAAATGATGGACTGTACCTTTAAGGCCTTTAAAAACACTAGTAGACAATTGGCAGGAACCTCCAACATTACTCACCCACATAAGTGTCCATTTTCATTAGGATGCCAAGTGAAGTGATACATCAAAACAGAGAGCTCAGTTTGCTATAATGCAGACTAAAATAAATTACTGAGAGAAGTGGCCATAAGACTTATTTTGTGGGATGCAATCACAAATTGTAGGTCAGATTTTATCACATACCACATTCATCCAGATTGGAAGTGCTGCTGTTGCTGAAATTTGTGAAACATAGAATGCTTTTTAGTAATTTGTAGTTTTTGGTTCAAAACACTGATAAACTGCACATAGAATTTACGTTTTATTCATTCACTGTAACCTCATTCAACAAAGCCCAGCCTGCAGAGTTCCTGTGATAATGTTTTCCTTTGAATGAAAAAGAAAGCCAGTCATTGCTGATATATTTCAAAAGAAGCAAAATTGTTCAATTGTTATGCTTTAAACTTGAGTGACAGATGTCACAAGTGAAATGTCAAATGTTTACGTGCATGCATTGTTTATTTATTTGTGTATAAAATTATCAGGAAGTTAGTGAAGTGTGAGCTTCCCCTTAGAGATGATACGTCCTGCAGGTGCCTGCCCACCGTAAACCTTTAGGCTAAATGACACGTCTTCCTCATCCATGTCCATCTGTGTAGCTCTAGTCCCACATTTTGAAGTGTGCACATTTCAAAATGTAGATGCTAGATAAACAATTTGTCACCCAACAACCGTGTATCCCACCTCTCAAATTAAAAACTTTAAACACAGGCATTGCTTAATATCAGCGAAAGTCATTTTGCTTTGAAAACAAATTAAAAGTAAAATCAGCAGTTGACATTTAGATACTTAATGAGTGACTTGTCAAACATACTGGTATTTTTTTTTCATTTTTACTTTGGAAATGTCTCATTTTTCATAAATTATTGTTACTCTTGTGATGTGTACCTTTTTCAACGAAAGAAGCCTTTGTAAATAAAAAAAATCTCAATTTGTTTATTTTGATAATAATGTCAAGAAAATGTCCGCCTTGTAAAATAATATAGATTTGGATGACTTATTTGTATAAATTGTTTATAGTTTTCAGAAATATTCTTGATAGTTAATGCGGTTGATTTGTTCTTTGTATTCTGTACTTATTTCTGTACTTATTAGAATGTGTCTCTTGCTGCCTAAATAAGTTAAATTGGCAAAGATTGAAACGTGACTACGCATATTCATGCTTGGCGTTCATGCATGTCAGAGAACTATATTTTGGTGAAGAAAATGTTCTGTGTATTACAAATGGCATGATCCACAACTGCTGTGCTGTGGAGAATGTTGATCACCAAGTCTTGTAAGATGACATTAAGTGTTTGGTTTTAGCAGTTGTAAACAGTGGTTTGATGTTTCTTGTGGAGCAGTCAGCAGTCTTCTGCTTGTCATTGTCCATTATTTCCACAAATTATTTTTGTGTTCATTAGTTCGTACTTACAATGCATTTAAAACATTTGTGACAAGTTGTTTTGAAAGACAATTTGCAAACACACCCAAGCTTAATTCCTGTATATATTGCTAGAAGCCAGCAAATTGCAATAAATACTTCCAATTCTTTTCCAAAGGTTTTATTTTACTCAGAAAATAGAAATTAAGGGCTTCCACTTATGACATCTGATGGATTAATGCTTCACTTTGATTTTAGTTTAAGGACTTACCGTGACTGTCTCAAAAGCACTGCATCACATGTGAAGCACTTGAAGCTGGAGGTTCGAGTCCCACCAGAGTACGCTTGTGGTATTTTTCACAGGCCTTCGGGGGCATACACTGAGTATACATTGTTAATACACGTCGGGCAGGACAAAAATCCAAAATTAATTTACATCTCCCCAGCGTAAATCCATCTTTGAAATACTTGCAGCCTTAACAGTATGTCCAGTGTACTCCTGTACGGCCACTCTGTTGTTCAACTTTTCTATGCCATGCTCTTTTATTTTCCCCCCCGTTTGCTTTCCCGAAGTGCGCCTCAGCAACTTATTTATTGATAACCTTCATTGCGGTGACTTATTGAACTGGTTCATGTTTTCTTCACAATTCCCACATGTATTTTCCCACCAATGTGAACTTTTCAGTTAACAAAAGCCTCAAATTTTTTGTCATTTGCTACAGTTTATTCAATGTGGCTCATTGTGGTGCAAATTTTTACATTGTCAAACGGCATTATCATTCTTGGATTGAGATCATAGTTCTATTGATGAGTTGTTCACGCCCTGTGCAGACACGCACAGCATCAATGGAAATTTGGTATTGTTTTAGGATGGCAGTTCTGAGCCAAGATATCACAACTAACTGGGTAATCATGGTTTGATTTTTTCCTGGTGAAGTTTTCCTCACTGACTTTTCAGAAAACAGCCAGTACCCAGTGCTATAAGGTTATATTGCTATGAGATAGTCTTTTGTCTCTCCACAATTATTGTGCATGTACAATATACATGTATATATATTTTTTGTAATTCAACACTTGGGTTGGTCTGCCATTAAGTTACATTTGTTATTGCTAGTCCATCTATATTTGAAATGTAATTTTGGGTACCATGACTGTAAATAATGTGTGGTAATGGTTGTTGCAGATAATAAATTCAGGCTGTTTCAAGTACAATAAGGCCGTGTCCGAAACAGGCTTCCAGAGCTACGGCTAGGTCTATTGTCTGCGCGTCTCCATGCATTTCCAATGGAGCCTAGACCTAGCTCTAGACAAGAGATTCGGATGCAGACTGAGCCTTTTGCGAGTTAAATTTGAACAATATCTGGTACAGTGAGTTATCTGATTGCACATAAACATAACAATTTGAATTCCCCAGACTAAAGACACTGTTGCTATAAGCAAAAGGTTTATTTACTGATGTTCACGTGTTTCATGTGTTGTCACTAAATTTGAAACTCAATGGTAAACTCTCATGCTTCTGACAAATTCACAGGCATTTAAATTTTTTCTCTTATTAAAGGGATTCCCACAACTTGAAACTTGTTTCAGGGAGTACACTTTCCTGGTGAGTAAAGGTTTGAGAAAATGGAAGTGAGTACAAAGGAACGTGAGACCCGATTGTAAAATGCTGCTCCATCTTGCAAGAAGCAATAATACTCTATTCCAATCTTTAATTGTGATGTCATGCCATGCAATAATATGGAGAAGCATTGGAGGAATAGACCTCTGTACCAATGACGCCATGCCTTGTTTACATGTATGCTTTTCTGAGGTGCTCCGAGGACTGTGGGCCTCCACTGGCTCCATAGGAAAGTCAACATATAAACAAAGATTGACGTCATCAGTACATAGGCCCATTGTAACAATTTTACTTAAACTGGTATCGAATAACCCCAATAATCCTAAATCTTCCCATTTCAATATGATTTTACATACACCCAAGGGGTTACAGGTTAATGAGTGAAGTACAATGACGGCATTATGCACACCTGTTTCTGTGCATTTTTATGTAAATCTTTATTTCATATTAAACTGCTTGAAAGAGACTCATGTTTTTCATCACTGTGATTTCAAGACACTGCCTTGTACTTAACTGTGATCAGTTCAATATACAAAGACTGAACTTTGAAACTGTGTGTGTAAATAAACTGTACTCACTGAATACAGGTGTGAACTGTGCAGTGAATAGTGGGCTGTGTAGTGATGTGTTATATCATTTAAGAATATGTTGTATGTCCATCCCGAATGCTTGAATTTGAGGAGCCAAATGGGGCATTTTGGGACAGGATTGGTTACGATGGCGGTGTTTTACTACAAATGCAGATATGGAGACTAAAAACATACTAAATTTTGAGCGTTCAATGCATTTGTGAACGAGCATGGACACGTTAACAGACTTCACTCTGTGAGGGCCAAATGATAAAATAATTGGTGTTCCTGATGGCAAAAGAACAAGGCTGTCTTGAAGCAGCATTTCCATTCCAATATACATTGGCCCAGTTAGCATGATGAATATCACACACACACGCAAACGTGTTTTGGGGCAACTGTGGACGTTCCTATTGTCCACTTTTGTTCATACTTTAACTTTTTTGGAAGGCCTCTAATATGTTTTGTACATGTTTGGCAATCGTGGACGTATCGGGAATCGTGGACGGTCATTAATTCTTTTGTTTAACGTCCACAATTGTTTGGGAACATCAGTGCATAATGACGGCCAGCTGCAGATATCACGGATAACATTCAAACACACAAAGACAGTCTCCATCTTTGGGAAATGAAGCACTTTGCCAAGTCCTGCAATGATAACACAAGGAGCCACAGAAGCCAAAGTGCACTGACAGCTTTAAATCTGTTCCTTGAGCTTGAATCTCCCCACTTCCAGCTCTGGCCGGATGTTGACAAATGTTCTGGTCATCTCCTCGTCTGACAGTGTGGGTGCAATTGACTTCCCGAAGGCAGTGTCGGGCCTGGGGTGCCACCGCTCGCGAGTGAAGTAGACGTGGCCGGCAACCTGGGCTGTCAGGGTTCTGTCTCGTCCTGTCACAACCTGAGGTACGATACGAGTGACATGACCTCTCAGCAACTGCACATTGCACAAAATTGTCAGATTTACAACATTCCTTCATCAGAAAATTGGCCTTGCAGATTTTCGGTGAAAATTTACTTTAGGGTAAAAGTAGTGCAGAACAAATTTCAATTTACATTACTCATAGAAATCATTACCTTAACCCTAACCGCCAAGCATATTGTTTGGCTGACAGTACTCAGTACTACAAATTTTCAGTAAAACCTATTACAGATCTGATTCCTAATGACGAACAAGCTTAAGAAAGTTCATTCAGAATAATAGCAGACTTGGGCCTTGTTCATTACCTGCACTATGTAAGTCAAAAATTAAGCACTATCTGTTATACTTACAAAGCTTCCAGGGTACCACCGGAATGCCATCTTCTGCTTGACAAGGGTCATCCCTGGCTGGACATAACTGCCTAGGAAACAAGAATCAAAGCCAATCAATCTATTAAAGTTCCTAGGTATCTCCACCCTGAGTGTTTGGGTCTGGCATTTTGCATCACTTGCAACAAGATCCGGTGGGTCAGCTATCCTCAAGACTAAACAGCCCAGGAGTCCATGGTTACCAGACACCATAGGATCCAACAGTGCTATGGTTGAATGAGATGAGCTCACACTCTCTCAACACTGACATTTTATTTGGCTTCTGTTGATTACCCAGGACAACAAAGTACTCCAGACTTTTCCGCCTATTGCACTTTGCTGTAGATTTGGGGATTAAAGATCCTTGAAATCTGTGGGATTTGGCAGTATGTAGGAAAGTAGAGCCAGCCCGTTTTAGTCTACATGTAAGTACATGCACGAGGATTGTTCCAGTGGTTTCTAGCACAATGGCAGATTTTGGAAGACTAAAATTCCTAGCAAAATTATTTGTTATTTTATTTTCATAGTATTTATACATGTATCTGATCATCCAACGGCGCATTTAGCGCCAATTACAGGATGACAATGAGTGGAGAAGACATAAAGAAATATTCAGTTTGAGAGATGGGAGGAAAACCCCCGATAAATGTTTCAGGGAAAACCCACAGACTCAGGTAGGGACTGAAAACCCAATCCACATGTGGACCGAGGTGAGGCCCTGTGAGGTGGAAGGCGAGGAAAGAAACCCTAGGCCAACCCTACTCCCCGAATTTAAAACACCACCAATATTCAGGCACAAAGAATGTCAGTATTTAGGCACGATGGATGTTCCTTAATGTGTACCTTTCAAAATCCTGGGGTAATTTGCAAGGAAATTCCATAAGCCACCAATATCTGTCAAGTGCTGTTAAAACAATGCTTCATGTTTTGTATGCCAACTGAGGACGCAAAGTCTGATGTAAACAATTAGAGTTGGTCTGAAACCAACCAGAACTTCCCAACTCAATTCTCTGCTCCCACAAAGTTTGGGGGTATTTTCCGCCTAATGTAACTTTGAATTGGTTGACCTCAATACATTGGGCAGCCAACAGGGACAGCATGAACTGCTAATTCTGACACCATGGGAGCTGTGTGTACATGTAGTCCCACTGAACTATGTCACTGTCAGCTCCAGCAGTGGCTGGAAGGCTAGGACTTGAGGCTGTTTGGCCTTAGGAACAGTTGACCTGTTGGGTTTCGTCAATTTATGAGATGACAGTGCACCTGTCTGGTACCCTACCTTCACGCTTCTTGACGCCCAGTCTTTTGCCTTTACTCTTGCCTCCATGGTTTCTTTTGCTGCTACCAGACTTTTTAGAGGCCCATCTCACACTGCACAAGCTCACTGCTGGACCTACTTGCTGTAAGGTAGTTGACCACAGACCTGCAGCCAATGACAAATCAAAAAGGCATGAACTTGGCTCCGCCGCTGGCTATGAACGCCATCTTTATGTACATGTAAAATTTCAGTGGTCTATGTCTTAGCCCTAACTCACCTAAACCCCTCAAACTCTGACTGTGGGTTTGGTCAAGTTTTGGATGATTCAGTACCACACATGTGAACTTGTTCAACTTTGTTGGATTGAGGAACGAAATGTTTTGAGTAGGGACACAGAGTGGTTGTTCTGTGGACTGGCTGCCTAGTGTTACCATGTATTATATAGGGTTGTGCTTGATTTTGTCATGGTTCAGTACTGCTACTCTGCAAGTCACCCATACACTTCAATGACCTCTCCATACCAAATGACTCCATCTTCAACACTGTTGTCCTATTGGAGTTCAACAGATTCTCTCTAGTCACCAGCCAGTAATTACAGAGACCCCCTTGTAGATACAAACGGTTTCTGTTGAACTTTGTTAGGTTCAGTATTCTTTCTCGTAAAAGGCCTGTGGTTAGGGTTAAGGAGACAATGTGATCACTACACAGGCATTGGGATGGAAGGTGTCAAAGGGACACTCATTTCCCCCTCCAAAAAAGGAAATAACAACAAAAAGACAACAAATGGACAGACATACAGGGCATAACTGACCCTCTTCCACTGTTTTTCAGGCACACGGTTTTTCAGTTTGCTGTTGATGAGAACTCTGTCCCCTGAGAAAAGATTTTCTCCCCTTCCTGGCACTTCCCAGAGACCACTACTATGCCTAAAAATGCTGAAAATCCCTCGGATTTGTAGACCCAAGGCTTACATGTACAGTATGTCATTCATGAGCTGACACTCAAATGAGGATATAGTCCTTGCCAGTATCCAGGCTATACAAAATAAATCAGCAGTATAAGCACTGATACACCAAGTACAGGCCTGTGGTGTACATGCGACAACTAACCTCAAACACTTAATGCAGGTCTTCTGTTGCATGTACATGTAGATCCTGCGTTTAGATTAAATTTCAACACAAAAAGGGAAAGACTGGAAATTCCACAAAGTTTTAGAAAAAGAGAACTCCTATCTTGAAAATTCTGATTTCTCTTTCAAAAGTTGATAAGGACCATACAATTTAATGCTTTGAGTTTGATTTTTGCTTACTTTGCTACTTGCTAAGTTATAATTTACACAATTATTGATCTACTAATTCTGCACATCCTCCCCCAGAACTCTGTGGTTGTCATCCACCATGCTCCCAGCGTGGTGGATGACAACCCCAGCATTTGGGTACCCCCATCTCTCAGGGTATTGTTATGCTCCAACATTAGTCCCAACTATAGTGCTATGGTTGGGCCAGTCCAACTACCTGACTACAGCACAGAGGTCTTGTGCAAATGTGCCCAGTGTGTGCAAAGTCATTTTGATTTACAATGTCATGCCATAGACATATATAGATGAAGTGCCATATTTTAGATGAATTGTTAAAGGTTAGATGCATAAACTTGGAGAGGGTTGAGAAATTTTGTATAGAAATTAGGCAACAATAGTTGGGACTGTCCTAACTACAGATGCTATAGTTGGGTGTCACTCATCATTCATCTGCTTGTGATAGTAGAGGGGTACAACTTGGAGACTATCCTTATATTTGGAGAGGTCCCTTTATTCAAGGACAAAATCAGTCACCAGAAAGAGAGGATGTCCCTCTAATCTAAACATGCTCTGAATGGGGACAATTTTCTTTCCAGTGGGCTTGGGATCCTACTGTTGCTCTGGGGATCCTGTTAATGCCATAACTGGATTCAGCAGAAGAAAACACCCAAGGCTGCCGTTTAAACAGAATTCAACCGTTTACTTCTAGGATTACAAGCAGGAGTCTGCAATGGCACATACAGGGTGATGGAAAGACCAATCAAAACAATTTTTCTGAAGATCAATTCTTCATGATATACTGTAATTAAACAAGTGACATGGCACAAATCTCATAAACAAACTTGGATAACTAAGCCTAAATAAAATATGGATGGAAAATACGGGAGAAAAAAATAAATTAGGCCTAGGGGCCTAATTTGACCTAAGCCCACATGGGAAAAAAATCCCCTATAATCCCTTGACGACGGGAATTTCTTCCCAAAAGCCGACTCCAAGAATTCCAGCCTCGCTTGGCCACGAAGGCCACCTGCCAAACCGCAAATTCTTGGTTTGTGGCCCTGTGTGCTCTGCACGCTTTGAATTACACGGTAAAAAGGCTGATTGTTTGGTGGCATGCAGCTCTACTCACGCTTCCACATTCCAATTGCCTCTTTTCAAAGTGGGGACTATTGTGAAGCTGGTGATTATGATGCAAATTCTGTCTTTTCATTTCCGGTCTATACACAAAGACCAATTACCATATACACAAGAGCCAGGGTTTGCCTTCTTTCACCTTGTTTGCTCGAGCGTGGGCCGAGAATAATAGCTGAAAAGCGGGCTAAGGATCTCAATTTTTACAGCGTGTCTAGCCGCCTCCCGGCATGAGGGGGTTAAGGAGACATTCTCTCTTCCAGGGGACTGGTTTTGTCCCCAAATAAAGGGACTCCAATGAATACAGGGACAGTTCAAACGTTCCCCGAGTTGTGCTGTGCACCTCCATTAGGTGAACACTCACTGTGGTGGTAAAAAGTTGAGTCTCCAAAGCTTCATCTGTTATTCCGTTCATCCATGGAGGTAGGAAAAGAATTGCTTACAGAATGCAACACATAATTCTAG